GCTGTGGTATTTCTCACACAATATTGATTGTCACCCTTTGTATCTCAATTTATCTTCTGCTCCATAGTTGTGGTGCTTGTTTGAGGTGTTTTAAAGGTGAATTTACCCCAACTGAGTGTTCCTCGGGTGGCAAAATTGTTCAAGAAAGTGATGTTTTTGGATTATAACTACCAGAATTCCTCACAGCAGAGCCAGTGTCTCCGAGCCATTCTAGGTGTTGTAGTCTAGTGGGAGTTGTAGTATCCGCCCCCCCAAATAACCTTCTTAAACTCTCAATCACACCAACAACCCAGATTGTGGCGCACAGAGCACTTGCATTTTCTAAGCATCTGCCTTTAAGTGGATACTGAAAAATGTGGTAGGAATGACACATAGAAGTCTTTGAAAACATATCTTACAGAGGGAAACCGGATCAGTTGTAGGACCCACCCATTGCAGAAGATTCCGAACAGTTCCTAAGAAAGAGTAAAACCAGAAGACAAACCTTAGGTCTTGTACTTCTTGGGGAGTATATGTCAAAAGATTACCCTTAGTCAGTATTTTAGGAAGGCATATATTCTGGAGGGGATAATTAAAAATTGTGCTGATGGTTACAGGGAAGGACTTCTTCACACAACACAAAATTAAATTATAGAATTTATGGTCATAAGAAAGAATGATGGCCACCAACTTTAGATAGTATAAAAGGGGGATTAGATAAATCCATGAAGGAGGAAGATAGCAGTGGTCGCTAGACAAAATGGGTATATATCACTTCAAGTGTCAGAGGCAGTATATCTTTCTCTACCAGCTGTGAGGAACATGAGTGGGAAGATGTAACTGTGTTCATTTCAAGGGAGGAGCTGTGTTAGAGATGCAACTAGCTGTTTTGGCACTGGGAAATTATATCCCACCTGTTCTGCCTTGAACCCCAAAGGGGGGGGGAGAAGGAGGGGAGAAGAACATGGTGTTCTATGCTGAAAGAAAAACAAGCGTGAATAAGGTTATTTATTTTCCTGCCAACAGATTCACCTTAAAAACAAGCTTCCCCCCCCCCCCAAAAAAGGAGAGTGAATAAGGTTATTTATTTTCCTACCAACAGATTCACCCGCAAATTTTAGGGTTCTCTAAATTTTCATGCTCTGGGGCAAAGCTGGGGTTTCCCTACACTAGTTGCAGCCCTGCATACGGTTTTTTATGACACTGAAGTTAAAGCAATTTGATACTGCTTGAACTGCCATGGCTCCATCCCACGAAGTCTTGGGATATGAGGTCTGCCAAGGTTCTTAAGATTCTTTGGATCACCCTGGAGCTGTCTCAGGAGGAATCAGAAGGACCTCAGCAAACTACAGATCCCAGGATTCCACTGGCTGGAGCAGGAACAGTTCAAAGTGGCATCAAACTACACTATTATTATGTAGTGTAAATATACTCAAATTCTTTAGAAACCTTAAAAATGAGGAGAAACAAATCATTGAGCTAGAATGATGAACCTTTGCTGTGATCCAGTGAGGTTTGTAGAATTCCAGAGCTGGAAGGGACCCTACGGCTCATCAAGTCCAGCCCCCTGTCAAGGAGGCCCAGTGGGGAACTGAACTCTTGCTCAGCAGCCAGATACCTAAACCACTGAGCTATTTATATGTCTTCTTATGTACTTGTGCTAAACTTTGGTGTTTGGGGTGGGTAGGAATCGCATGGGACAGGAATCAGTCTTAAGCCATCTGTTTAGAGATGTTCTGGTCCTAAATTTAAAATATTATCTCACAGTGCCAAGGACATGGTCCTGGTTGATCCATCCCAATGGACTTCTTTCTGTGTATTTTTTCAAAAGAAAATTTTTACAAAATCGACGGGCTCTCTTTTCAAGAGTTATAGTAGTTAAGGCCAACTTTTACAGGTGCTTTAGGGAGAGGTACAAAGTTCAATAAGACAAGAGAAAAGAAACAACAGGGCAGGGTTAAGATGGATGCACCCAGCTAAGAGTGGGGAAAAGTTAACTTTTTTCAGAGTAAAATTTGGAGCTGGCCCTGCTGGACGAGGAATTCTTTGAGTTTTATTCTGAAAAAGTAACTTCACCCAGCTCTGCCTCAGATCCAGTGACAATTACAGGCAGGGGCTACAGCTGAGAAATACACAGACTGGAGATGTACAGGTTTGAATTTTTGGTCTACAATTCTCAGAACTATACAAGCAACAAGGGGAATTGTAGTCTGAAAACGCAAGTCTGCACACCTCTTGCACATGTATTTTTGCATGCAATAAGTTCCATTTCGGGCTCTGACCTCTCCAGTTAAAATGTTCATGTCACGGGGATTCCGCAGATTTGTTATTAGTCAGGTTTCATTACACTTTGCTAATATTGTCTAGCACAAGATCTCCTGTTTTGCATTCCTGGAATCCATGACACAACCACACTGAATCACAGCCCCACAGATTTCAACATGACTCAAGAGTGACCAGCAGCTGACTCACATACACACACATGTACGTCACGGTGTTTCTGTGGGCTCCACTCCCCACGGAGTCTAGTTCATCCGGGCAGGTTCATCACCGAAAACTGCAGGAGCAGGTGATGAACCACTGGTGTGAGGGAGTTACCCAACTTTGCAAGGTTGTTGTGCGGATGACACAGGGAGAGCCATAGATGTTAGGGTGATATGTTGGGGGAGCAGGGTGAGGGTCACATGAAAGAAAGACGTGTTTGGAAATGAAGCTCTAGAACATACTTTTAAAGAGTATCATTCCCACTACGGACCCCCAGAAATTTCCACTACAAACAGCTCCGCAGTTTCTCCTATTCAGTTTAATTCCCAGCCGTCACACAATCGCCCAGCAGAGGGCGCATCAGAGAGGTATTTAAAGGGAAACCTTTAAAAAAAAACCCACGCCAGGCTAATATGCACTCTCTGTAGTTTGGCCTTAATCTTTTATTTTTAAATTAAATAATGCAACTATTCTTCTTCGCTGGCATTCTCTATCAACAGGAGCGCGTTTCTTGCTCGCCTTTCCCCCCTCCCCCTCCTCAATAATTTCTAGAATTCTTATTATTGTTATTATTTCTCTTTTCCAAATGGCTACCTTTTGACCTGAAAGGTTCACCATCTGGAACGAGGGAAAAAAAACACCTTGGAAGAATAACGCTATCATTTTCCCCCGCTTCTGCGAGAGCGTGCTTTCAAGCCAAGATGCACCAAAGCGACCTTTTTCACATTTAAGACTCCACTTGTTTTTTTAAGCAACATCGACCCATTACTGTACCGCCCGACGGATCGGCAACTTTCTAGCATCGGGGGGAAAATGAAAAAGAGATCTGGTGGCAACTAATGCTGGGTTTCTCCAAGTTTGATCGCCCTTCTTGCCTGGTACGGTTCAAAAAAAGTGCCGGTATCCACGCAGAGAACTGCAGTCTCAACAAGTCACCCTTTCTGTTTCTGCTCTTAAAAAAAAAAAAAAAACAGGACAAGGCGATTTGTGAATTTCAAAGAATAATCACAGGGAATGCCTCACGTAATTTATATAACGCAATCCATGCCCATGGAGGCTGGCGATCTCAAAACGCGCAAGGTGATGCCAATTCTACCGGATTTCCCACGCAGAGAACTGCAGTCTCAACAAGTCACCCTTTCTGTTTCTGCTCTTAAAAAAAAAAAAAAAACAGGACAAGGCGATTTGTGAATTTCAAAGAATAATCACAGGGAATGCCTCACGTAATTTATATAACGCAATCCATGCCCATGGAGGCTGGCGATCTCAAAACGCGCAAGGTGATGCCAATTCTACCGGATTTCTGGGATGTATTCAGTGATCATCCGTTTAGTACATCCCCGGATTTCTTTCTCATGCTGTCTTTCCGGGGTGGGGGGGAAAAGAGAAGAGAAAACAAGCCCAAGACCCCACGAAGGGAAGAAATTCTTCCTCCGATTGCCTCTTAGTTCAACCCCCAATTAAAACATGAAACCCCAACTTCATGCACTTCACCGTCCCCCTCGCTCCCACCCATTCAGACCGGCTTGTTTCAGCTGGAAAACTGGAAGAACTACCGACGATCGCTCAAGATCGGAGAACAAAAAAAAATACTGTATGTGCGTGTTTTAGTTCCTCGGTCAGAACCAAAAAAAATCTCTCCCTTTGACATCTCCACGCACGCCTACACAAGGGCAGCGTCTGCCTCCCTGATCGATAGAGGTACCTGTATAGATAATTTCCCCGTTTGCTACTGCTTTTTTTTTTTAATTAAACTGCGCGATCCCGATGCACCACCGATGCAAACACGTCCCCTTGTGCGTTGCGATCATTCAGAAAACAGAAAAGGAAAAGGAAAAAGGAAAGGAAAAAGATCTGCCAGGGAAAACCAGGAGGACTTTAAATGTCATTTTTTTTTGTTCCCGAGGGGGGGAAAAAGACGGCTGATAGACGCAGAGAAGACACCGGCGACTGCAGGCGAGATCCTGTCCATTTCATTGTTCTCACCCGGCAC